GAATTGTAGTCCCATGCCATAGATAGATAGATAGATAGATAGATAGATAGATAGATAGATAGATAGATAGATAGATAGATAGATAGGTATTCTAAAGCGCTGTGACATGTCTGAAGAGATATATAGCTACAGTATGCTATAGTGTGTTGAGCGATGGATGAATAGCCGTATCACTGGGTATTTCCTGATCATGACCCCTCCACTGATGTTCCCTCTGTTGAATCCAATTTGGCAAGCAGCCAGAGGAAAAGGGTAGATGGCCAGAAGTTCTTTTTCTTTTTCCCCTTCCTTGATTTACTGCTCTCTTGACTAGAACTGACAACTGAAAAGTGTGAGCAAGATATAGGCAAAATAGGGCCAGGTTTTTGAGGATGTCAACAGGTTGGCTCTGGCAGGTACCTGATGATACCAACCTTTGACACCAACCCAGTTACCCCTCCCAAACAAACACAAATGTCTTGACGATCCACTTTCCAGCATGTTCTATGTTGATCCTGCAGTATGTATTAAAATATTATATTTCAGATACACAAGCTGCCACCCTATGGGATGATTTATTATTCTACAGCAACTTTCTCCAAGAGATTTGTTAAGCTACAATTTCTAATATGCTAACTGGGGAAGGGGACTCAGAGGGCTTGTTGTCTAACCCAACTAGAAGGCAAGAAGTTGGGGAAACTGCTCTACAAAGTTTAATCACGCCTTTAAAATTGCTACTAAGATGTTGCAACAGCAAGCATGTGCATTTTTATTGTTTAGTACACTGTGTTTTCCCTGCTAGCAAGCTAGCCACATTTCTATAAAGCCTCTAATGAATTACTCTTCTAGATCACATGAAATGTAGTCCCAGCATATGCTCTGTCATGTGTTCAAGGTAATTAGATTACTTCTGACTACACAGTAGAATCCCAATGGTCCAGACACATTTTTTTTCACTTTTGTCTCTCTGCCAATATCCTACAGGAAATTGTGGTTTCAAAAAAAGTCAAATGAGAAAAAGACCCCGTAGTGTAAGAGCAATTTGGCAGACTGAAAACCCATCTTAATTATCTTAACTTAGCATACTGTACCTATAGGCTGGCAATTTAATAAAGTTATCTCTTTAAAATTGGATGTTTTCCTACAATTTTCTCATTATTTTCTTTACATTCAGTACAGTATACATTTTGAATATACAGTCCCCAAAAAACCCTTGTCCTACAATGAGAGGACACAAACACCCAAAACACACTATTTGCACTAGACACACTCCATGGATGGTGGTGTGATCAATTTTATAGAGACTACATAGGCATAGAATATAAATGGAGAGTGAGAGAAGGAATGTAAAGGAGAAAACAATTTGGTTAAATTCTCCATTGGAATACATAAGTAGCCAACTAACAGAGTACTAACAGCATTTTACAGCTATGTTTATTGGGTAAAGCTGCTATCCTATGGATAGTCTTTCAAAAGTAAGATCTATGAAACCATTTACTTTTGATTTCAACCGTCCAAATTGCAACATACTGCTTTAATTAAGGTCCTTCAATCAGATAAAATCAACCTTTGGCTTTTTATTAAATGCATACAAAACATACTTTGTCAAAGGGGGTCATAATTAGGAACCATCCCTGCAATGTGCTCCCCCACCAAAGTAATAAAAAACCAAAAATATGGCTACACAAAACACCTTGTTGGAAGAAACACTGGAAAACCTGAAATTCACTGGTTTCATACAGAAGCAGCAACCCAAAGCTACCTGAATCTGGCTCTCCTTCCTATTTAATGTGACTTTCTATGCTTCACAGCTCTGTGAGCAGCCCACCCCCAACAATATAAGTGGCATGTGTAACGCCTGATGTTTCCAAAGCACTGATCAGGCGTTATGTAGGCAGATGCTACGTGAAAGCCAGGCATTTTCCTGCAGCCCAGGCCAAAATGCTATGGACAGTAGTGACCAATGACCAGAGGGGAGGGAGTGTGCCTCCAGTTACAGAGGAGGGGCCATGCCTCCAGTTGTCTGAAGTGACCAATATGAGCTGGGTAAAATTTAAACTTTGACCAGGAAGTGTATAGATGACTTTCACAGCAAAAACTATGTCAGGAGAAGAGGGCAGACATGACTTTAAAACTGGAACAACTTATTATGATTTTAAGCTGCCTCTGCTCTGAGCTGGGGATGAGACAAGGCAACCATGAAGATATGTCATCTCTAAACAATTCACAGAGCATCTTTATGCTTAGAGGCCCACAAGGATGAAGATTGAATCTTCCCTTTCTCTATCTAGAAGTTAGATTATGCTATAAAGAATGTGTCTGATAAAGTCAGAACAAGCTAGTTCTAAAACTTGTAATGGATCCATAATAAGATGAAAACTATGATAATGGTAAAATCACTACCACCACCATATAATCACTAAATGGTGTGGCATCCAGCTGAATACAGGATAGTTTGTTCTTCTCAAAAGCTGAGTGATCTAAAACAAATAATATAGAAAAGTAGATCTTCCTTTTAAAAATACTTAAAGGCAAGATATATGGAACATAAAGCCTGCTGTAGCTTATCCGTAGATATTGAAACTTCCTCAGAATTGCATTAAGCAACCTGTTCAGCTGGAGTCTGCTGATAGCATTTCCTCAAATAGTAGGAAATGCAGTCGCTCTCGCCCTTTTCCCCATGTAGACAACATAAATACAAATAAAGACAACAAAAATCCCTCCATGTCTGAAGAACCATGGCTTTTTAAGAGGGAGAGGGAGTGGTAAGCAATTTTTTTTCATCTTCAAAGTTTTGAAAACTGAATTCTTTTAGCAACATCCTGTAATTCTATAAAACATGTTAGTTAAGCTAAAATTATGCTTCCTGCCAACATACGAGCAGGTTCCTTCAATAAATATACTGCCTCTTCCACAAATGGGAAAGGGAAAACCTTTGTGAGTGTAAATGAAGGGCCAGAAGTTTATTTCTTTTTTTTAAAATTGCAGTAACAGTCTCTGAACATTGGGCTCTCTTTCTTTAAGAACCCAGTTTTTCTAAGAAAGCAGAACATTAGAGAAGATACAGTTCCCACACTGGCTGACTTGTCTTTGTGCTGCCAGTCCTTTCCTTCACTTTCTCTGTGCCATTCTCCTCCACTTCTTTTGGTTTGCTTTTGCTTTATTCTTTTCCTTTTTCTATTCTCTTTCTTGATTATTAGTTTTTGTTAGTTCTTATCTTTCTGTTTTTTAAAAAAATTAAAATTATGCCTGTCAGCTGATGGGAGCTATAGGACACTAGACTGGATGATTCCCAGCCATACTACTGTCTGGGTAAAAGGGTTGGTCACCTGGCAATCATGTGAATGCCATCTAAACTCCTGAAGAAGAAAGGATATGTAGGGAGATCATAGGAAACAGCTGACCATGTCTAGTCTCAAATTTGTAACATAACATCACTTTTTTTTTTTTACTATTCTTAGTGTGCATACCCCCCTCGCCCATTTATGCAAATATCTAGTGCCGATTTCTTATACAGCAGTCAAAGGAGTCCTGCCAGGTATTTAAGAGCATTTCTTGTCTGAGATGTAAAAAAAGCACCATGACAGAAATGATGGTATCCAACAAAATGCAAAGAGTTCTTGTTTCAGATTGGAAGTTAGCAACTAAAGTGATGTCTCACAATTGGGAGCTGGTAAAAAAAGCAATTTTGTGTCATCTTTAGTGACCCTGAATCCAGTACAGCGTCTGGCTGGATACTGTAGGAAACTGGCTGGTGGACGACTTAAGCTTTTAGACAGATCTTGCAACCTTTTTGTGTAAAATCTGCCCACAGATTCACATGAAAGGAAAATACATCTGTTTCTAAAAATTAGGTGAGACATTGAGAAAGGGAACACATAGATGAAAGCAGGAGAGGAAGACAAAGAACAATTCCGTACTCTGGTATGTTTCTCTATGGCAGCCATTCTCAAACATTTTAGTCTCAGGACCCTTTTACATTCTTAAAAATGAACTTAAAAAAGAACTTTGGTTTACATGAGTTATATCTATCAATATTTACTGTATTAGAAAATAAAATTCAAACATTTTAAAATATTTATTTGAATTTGCAGACCCCTGAAAAGGTCTCAGAGACCCCTAAGGATCCCCAGACCACACTTTGAGAACTGCTGCTGTAGGGCAAGGATGTGCAAATTTGTTTGAGGGCCACATTAGGTTTTGCATGGCTTGTTAGTGGCTGCATTTCAAAAGGGGTCAGGGTCAACTCTCAAGATTTTGAGTGGAGAGTTAAGCTTTAAGGCACCCATTTTGCCCTGTCAAATCCCTTGCCCACTACAAAAGCTTGATAAATATCCTGCTCACTTTAGGGAAGATTCTGCAGACTGCAAAACTGGGGCTAACAGGCTACACCAGGGTTTTTAAACCTTATCAACTTTAAGATGTGTGGACTTCAACTCCCAGAATTCTGAAGTTCACCCATCTTAAAGTTGCTGAGATTGTGAAACCCTGGGCTACACTTTTTGTGCTCCTGCTTTAGGGGACTGATATATAATGTCCTTGAAGTACACGTGGTCCTGGAGTGAGAAACCTTCCTATCTTGGTAATCCTGACTTCATTAGTACACAGCTCTTGGAAACACCTGTGATTCTCAACTACTCTCTTTTGAACAAACACCATTCCTGGAAAGTGCAGAACATGTCCATCTTTGAATCACTGTAGGAATTAAAATATTAGTAGACAATACAATAAATGTTCACGACTCCTCTGTTAAAGGTGCAAAATTGCATCAGAAATTCCTGAGAGGCAAAACTGCTGTGTGTCTAAGCAGAGTTGTATAAGAATCCCAGTGAATATTAAAAGTGAGAGGAATGACTCATAAGCACATGAGCTGTGAGGGGGGGAAAAGGGAGGCAGAAAACACAAAATCATGCACCTCTTCTTAATCCAGGGCCATCACATGATGAGCCCCAAGATCTTAATTTAACCAGAGAGAGGAAGAGAGCAGGGAAACATTATCCCCAGTCTTGCTTTGAAGAGATCAGAGGAACACCAAGTCAAGTTGTGCAAGTTCTGTAGTTTGGGTGTCTGTATCTATTCAGCATGAAGTGGGCTTGCCTCTTCTTTCTTCTTGGATACCTGGTCACTGATGAACATGTTCTGCCTGCTACAGCCTCCAAACGTGAGTTCCTTGCTTCCCTTCTTCCTCTCCGTATGATAATT